GTTGCATTAAATGCACACATTTAATTACCTGTTACAGGACCAGGATTGAGTTCAACATCTCCTGATAACAGGAGGAGCATACGTAGAAAAACAATGAAATAGAGATAATTGTATATCAGGTTAGAACTGCCGCCTCCAGGTAAGACTAGTGACTGGAGATTTGTATTAGTAACAGTAACACCAGTAGTACATTGTACTTGGTAGCAGTTACCTACTTGTAATAATAAAATACCAGTAAATACTGTAGGGAGCCTTTTTTGAAGGTTGTGAATTTCATGAATTGGCCTAAAAATCTACCGGTATTTGTGAATTTAATTTTTGCAAATTTATGCTGTCTGCCATCTTGTACCATAATAATTTGATTTTTGCGGAAGTAATTTTTGCGAAGCTTCAAAAAAAAAATCGCAAAAATTACGGCCCTCAAAAAAAAGGAACCCTACAGTATAAAAGTGTAATGTTGAAATTGTTGTTAACCTGTTGGAGGATTCATGAAGATGTGTCTTAATAAAGTGAGAGAGTGAAAGAGGAGGAGGAAAGCAGAAAGAGACAAAGCTGCTGGCAGTTTAGATGTTTTCTCTCCTGATGTAATACTGCCAGACTTGCTGCCTACTGCAGCTTTGAATGAGTGAGAGTGGCGACCATTAGCTGCTCTACTGGTAGCAGCTTGACAGTAGTTCCACAGTCCAATACTTACTCTCCATTGAGAGACATCAATCATCTTGTAATTATCTATTAGTAAAGTAAAATTAAAATGAACTATAATCTACTTACCTCTATCACTGTCAATGATCAACTGTTGTATGACAGAGAAATGAAAAGATAACAGTCAATATAAAGAAGAACAAGTAGACTAGTCTCGCTGGCCAGGCAAGGGTCTGGCCAGCGAGACTACAAGTAGACTAGATTCTAGTTGCAAAAGGGAGTGGCTTTGCAATAATTAATTTTAGTCTACAAGCTCCTCCTTGGTCTTGAAAATGTCCGAGGAAATTGTCTTCAGTCTTTTTTAAATAAGAAAATTGAAAATAAATAAAGTTTAATATAATTTTGTTAATATTTAGATATGTGTATCTCTCTCTTTCATTCATATTAGTAATTTCTAGTACTACATGTTACATGAAATGAGGTATACATTCCAGTAGTGAAGATCAGCAACCATCAGTAAATTAATAATGGAAGTAGTGACCTTCATTGAGATATTAGTACTTAAGTCACTTTTAATATTGTGTATTAATTATAGTGAATTTAATAAGGGATCTGTCCCTACTAATTAAAAATGTTTTAATTTGTAACTATAGGAACACACCTCCAGTACACATTAAATGTTAAAATTTGTACACACAATTAAAGGTGGACTTTGTTATCTCATTTTATTAATTAATTTATTATTAATTTTATTATAGTCTCGTACACTATTAGACATCATTACATTACCAATAATGTACCGTCAATTTTTAATTAAAAATGTGGCGATTTGACCACATTATAATTGAAAAAAGTTTAACCCGTGTTAACATAATGTCAAGACTAGCATAATATTGTAAATCCACCTATGATTAGCTATAATTGAAATCTTATTAAAACCACCAATCATTTATATGTACATGTACATGTTTATATTACTGATTGTGTGCACAAGATTGTCAAATTATATCAAATTCATTTTATAGAATGTTGCTAAATATAGTTCTACCAAATTAAAGTGATGTACAGTAAAAATACTAAAATCATCCTGAAGCCTCAAAATGTACTATAAATGAACACGTGCATGAATTTTGTCACCTTTACATCTCATTAATATCTCAGACACCCTCCTCTCTCTGTCTCTCTCTCCCTGTTCTTCTCTGTCTGTCCTCTCCCTCTTTCTGTCTCTCTCTCAACAGATCTCTTTATCCCTCCCTTCTCTCTTTTTATATCTATACAGATCTCAGTAAACCTAGTATTGATGCTAATCCA